ATTGATTGAGAAAACTACCCTACCCCAGATTATGATTAAGGGTTTTAATTAGTGTGAAAAGAAAAACTCCTACTTCTTTGGCTCAAAGGGGTTGACTAGGGATTATCTTCCTTATAACTCCACTGTTTGGGATTTGAAACAACGCCTGTACATCATCAGCCGGGTCTATTCAAAATCACACTGTATAGATTGTGGTATCATTTTCATCATCCTCTCTCTAAAGGCTTACAGCTTTTTTAATCGAGAGTTGAATATCACAAAAGGAAATAAGAACGCATTTTTGAAATAGTGAATACAAATGAATTGATTCAAGACAAACATGTGCAATGCATTAATGAAATAATAAAGTTTTGACATGACTAAATGTTCGAACAATCAAAAGAAACTTACAAGTTGAAAATTCTAATGCACGAAAAATCCCTCTTGTTAGAACTTGTCACTTCAAATGGTGGGCTTTTGAAGGATGGCAGAAGAACTCAGCCTGACCATCTTGTGTAAACTCCAGCACTCCTTCATCAGTCAAGTTTTGAATTTTATATTTCAACATCCAACAATCATCAATATCATGCCCCGGACTGTTGGAGTGATATGCACACCTTGCATCAGGATTGTAGTTAGGCGAAGAAATCTTGGGATTCGGATGAGGTCCTATCAATGTAATCAGATTCATCCTCAACAAGCATTTCAAAGCTTGAGTCAGTGACACGTTGAGTTTGGTAAATTTCCTTTTGGGTATATCCGGCTTATTCTGATTAACCTGTTGTTTTTGGCGAGGTTGTTGTTGGACTTGTGAGGTAGTAGCAATTTGGAAAGGTCAACTCTTCACCAAACCAAACTCTTGTCTTCTTGGAAGTTGATAAATAACTTGGTCCCCAGCCTCGACTGCTTGCTTCATACGGTTGCATCCATCTTGATGAAGTTTGTTGATAATGGTTCTCAGCTCTTCTTGTCCCCGGGCTAGGTCTTAGATAAGAGCTATCTGCCCCATCATTTGGGTTCTCATTGCATCGACCTCAGCTTGCAGTTGTTCCAGACGTTCGTCCTTATTGTCTTCAGGACTTTTCTTGACCAAGTTCCCAACGAGGAGTGTTTTCAACTCTTCCTTCCCCTTGGATAGGTTTAGGAACATTTCCCTGAACTGAGCTTCTTGAGTTTGAAGATCCCTGTTGTCTTGTTTGAGAGCCATTGCTGAAATAAACAGCGAGAACATGAGAGGCCTGTACTGGAAGACCTGTTATACAATGATATGTATGATATATGTATGCAATGTTTTCAAGGATCTCGCGGGGTAAACAAGAAACTGTTATAATTTGGTTGCAGCTTGATTGAAGAAACTTCGTGTCGTTAAGAGTCCTTCTTCAAGATTCAAGCTCACCATATCGAGTGGGTCATAGCCCCTTACTCAAGTTATCGTGTTTTGATCTCTATACGACATTGGCTAGAGGAAAATAAATCCCCTTGCCCCTTGCTAGACGTCTGATTTACCATAACCTGGATCACAAACCCTTGAGATCCTTGAAATGGTTAAGGAAATGTTAAGGCATGACGTTATGATGTGTATGCTATGCGTTTAAGCAAAAGTGCGAGGTGATGTAAGCAAGTAAACCCGGAAAGAAATCCAAGTTATTGGATAAGGACTGTAAACAAAACTTGTAAGGAACTCATGTTGTCAAATGATAAAACTGCGGCAGTCTCTTCATGGACAACTTGTATGTTATCAACACTTTTAAAAACAGCAAGCGGCAGTCTCTTCATGGACAACTTGTATGTTATCAACACTTTTAAAAACAGCAAGCGGCAGTCTCTTCATGGACAACTTGTATGTTATCAACACTTTTAAAAACAGCAAGCGGCAGTCTCTTCATGGACAACTTGTATGTTATCAACACTATTAAAAACAGCAAGCAGCGGTCTCTTCATGAGCAACTTGTGGGTTAATGTCACCTTTCAAAACAACAAGCGGCGGTCTCTTCATGAGCAACTTGTGTGTTATTGAAAAACATCAAGTGGCGGTCTCTTCATGAGAAACTTGTATGTTATTGACACCTTTGAAAACATCAAGCGGCGGTCTCTTCATGAGCAACTTGTATGTTATTGATACCTTAGACAAAACAACAAGCGGCGGTCTCTTCATGAGCAACTTGTATGTTATTGATACCTTTAAAAACAATAAGCGACGGTCTCTTCATGAGCAACTTGTGTGTTATGGATACTCTTGACAAACAGCAAGCGGCAGTCTCTTCACGAGGCAACTTGTATATTATTGACACCTCGAAAAACAACAAGTGGCAGCTTCTTCATGAGCAGCTTGTACGTTAGTATTTTTGGAAGACAGCAAGTGGCAGCTCTTCATGAGCAGCTTGTACGGAAAGTGGCAGGTGGCAGCTCTTCATGAGCAGCTTGTACGGAAAGTGGCAAGTGGCAGCTTCTTTGTGAGCAGCTTGTGGGTTTTTGGCAACAAGTGGCAGACTCTTCATGAGCAGCTTGTGTGTTTTAATATTCTTTGAAGACAGCAAGTGGCGGTCTCTTCATGAGCAGCTTGTATGTTATTGACACCTTTGAAAGGAAATAAGTGGCGGCCTCTTTATTTGAGCAGCTTGTGTATCCCCAACAATAATGTCTACTCAGCAAATGGCATCCCTTCGGAAAAGTCCCGTGGGGAAGTTTGTTATTTTATCCTTTTCAAGCGATATCTTGGTTAGAGAAGAAATGTGTTACCGTTCTTGGTAAAATTCAGAAATCAGAGATGTTTATCTCCAGTCGCAGTGCTGATGTCAATCATTTTCCAGTCTCAGTACTGATGTCAATCATTTTGTTTCCCAGTCACAGTACTGATGTCAATCATATGCTTTTCCAGTCTCAGTACTGATGTAAATCATTTCTTTTCCAGTATCAACACTGATGTAAATCATTCAAGAGTCTCTCATTTGAAGTCTATGACTCTGTTTCCCCAGTGGAGTTACAACCTCTTCCTCTGTGGGATTACTGTATAATGTGCTTGGTTTCTCCAGCATAGTCTGTCTCATATGGCGTCATTCCCCATAAAATTCAAAACATCACATTCATATCATATCGTAAACACAATCGCGGTATCTTAAGGCCAAAAATTGTGTATTCTGTATTTAAGTCCCTTCAATCTCGTCGAAATGAAGATCCCAATCTTCATATCTCCAGATAGAAGAAACTTAAATAGGGGCAGCTGTTGTACCCCAATTTTTTACCTAAGATCCTATTTTTATTTTTGATAAGTCAAGGTCACGAAATACGGTCGGTTTTAACGTCTCACCTTCGAGCTTTGACTATGCGAAAATTGTCAAGTGTTTTGAACATTTTTAGCATATGTATCACTAATTTCTAATCGCATACAAAGGTGTATGTTCATGCCCTTTTGTGTCATGTGCAGAGACAGGTCTGAATCAAGAGCATCAGGTGTCGCGCCTCAATTAAGGTTTTGAGTCTTCCAAACCAAAAGTACGGTTGATTATGGATTCTCGAAGACTGATTCATCAAGGCACAACTGTTGCACCCTAGATTTCGCCCCTAACATGTTTTAATCGCACTTTCATATCATATTTTGTTATTTGGTCACGATCATTAGTAAATATCTTCATTCATCATATTTTGCATCATTAGTCGTATTTAAGTTCACCAGAAAAAGTCAGTTTAAATCAAAGTTTGCATCGTCTTTCAGTTGTAAAATACCTGACATTTCACTTCATGCATTTTTATCTTCTTTACTCGTTTCTTGCATCGTTCCAAGTTGTTTATATGTTGATAATAAAATATTTTGGTTTTATAGACAAACTGTTAAAAGCAATTCAACAATGTGCGAAAAATTAGCGAGAAAAATATTTCAAGTTTTCACCTTTTACCGATCATTTTATGAATCTGCATCTCGCATAGATTATGACGGTATGCTCGCTTTATTTTTTGATACAGTTTGAAGTCTCGTTTTTAACCTTAAACGTCTGTTTAGTCTGATATTTTTATTATTATTTTATTTTTGATTTTTGACTTCTTGAATATTTTTTCTTTAATCTTTGTGACATGTAGATTATTTTAATGTGTTCATTTTATTTTTTTGGATAAATTTTCGTCCGTTTTTTTATCATTTTTGGTCATTTTGGGTCTTTATATTTTATTCATAAAATATTCAAAAAAATCATTTTAAATTGAGTTAATTTTAATACATTTAGTTTTTTGGTTATTTTTATCATTTAAGAGCTTTTTTTGGTCACAAAAATATATTGGTTATACTGTACTCCATCCCTATTGGTTGCTGGCAGAATTTACGGATCGACACATATCACCTCACAAACCCACCAAGCCAGCATGTTCTCTTGGTTGTGTTTTCTTAGACTCTACTTTTACCAATTTCTCTCGTCCCATGCCTACAAAAACGGTCCTCTATTCAACAGCTTTCAAAGGGGGGATTTACTAGATGCATATTACTGAGTTTCGAATTTTTTTCAACCTCTTCACTTCCCCAAGCGCAAAGATTGCATATTACTTTAACTCAATATGATAGTTCAGCTGATGGAACTACCAAACAGCTACAAGCGCTTCTGTTCCTAACCACCTTCGCTGGCAACTCACCTTCGTTCCTCTCTCAACAACCAAACCCCTCCATCTTTACCTTTACCTTCTTCCATAATTTTGGCAATTTTCCAATTGACATCCACTGTTACTCCTTATCTCGCAAATAGTCCGCTCAGACCAGTCACAAACCGGCGATAGCTACTTCAACAATTTTCTGCCCGTTCTGTCCGCCGGTGATCCTCCGATCTACAATATCAACAGCAACGAATACTCTCCGATTTCCGCGTCAACTGTGTCGGCATATTCCCTTCCGGCAACATTCAATTTTGTTTGCAACAATCTCTGCCCAGCTTCGATTGACGATTACGACGACTCGGAGTTAAATGAAGACTTGGAGAAGTTCAAAATGACCTATCTCGAAGAGGATGTTGTTGCTTTGATGAAAAAAGCGTGTCTTAGATATGGTTGGCTGCTTTGGAAAGAGTGTTAAGGTTGAACTCAATGGAACTGCAATTCGATTTAAGTCATTATGTGATTATGCTGATCTCTTCCTTAAATGTGCTGAGAAGTCCAAACTTATGCCTCTGCCAAGGATTCATGCCAAAATAGGTGATAGGTGGGAGATTTGCGTCAGTCTAAGTGATGGGCAATTTCAACAGGTCAGCTTTGTTAACTCAATTGCTACAATCAAGGGTGGGACACATGTTGATTACATCACCAATCAGATTACTGCCTATATAATGAACAAAGTAAACCAGAAAAAGAAGGATGCACATGTGAAAGCTCACACAGTCAAGAATCATTTGTGGGTTTTCGTCAATGCTCCGATTGACAATCCTGCCTTTGACTCTCAAACTAAGGAGACACTGACAACTAGACAAGCTAGTTTTGGTTCTAAATGTGATGTTCCAGAATCGATGTTGAAGGATGTTGAAAAATCTGGAATAGTGGATACCCTCCTATCATGGGCAAATTTTAAACAGAGTAAGGATTTGAAGAAAACAGATGGAACCACGACCCACCCTCTTCATTATTGTTCAAACAACAACAACAATGAATTGAAAACTCTGACCACTACTCCACAGAATGGACAAGCCGACCCATCTTATCACTCCTCCTCAATTACGATCTGGGTCATTCGCAAAACCGGTTCTTGATGCATGTGACGCTGATGTGGTCTTTGTTCCTTTTTTTCGCTACTCTTAGCGCTGAATTGCAATTGGGTACGGCTAAAGGAGTCTTCGGGAAGAAAGATGGGAACAAGGATTACCAGAGGCAGAGGGAGGTTATTGATTTTGTGAATAAAACTCAAGCTTGGAATCATTCCGGCGGTCGAGATCATGCGTTTGTTCTCACTGGTTATGTTAAAACTGAAGCATTGTTTGGCAGACCCGGTTGCAATGTGGCATTTGAAAGATGAGATTGCTCCAGCCGTTCTCCTTGTTGTGGATTTTGGTGGGTGGTATAGACTTGACTCAAAATCATCCAACTCCTCCTTCTGCGTGAGTATACCCTCTATTTCACTGGTTCACCCTTTTGTTTTATCATTAACTTATTTTTTTCTTTTTCTTTTCAATATTATTGTTATAATTATTAGTGAATATTTTTATTTTTATTATTGTTATAATTATTAGTGAATCAAGCTCTAATTAGGATTATGCTACTAGGCCCTAACTTCTACTTACAAGCCCATTTTCATTTTACTACTCTTGCACCACTATTTCCATGCTTACACCCCCCTCATTTCTTTTGTTTTATTTCTTTTTAATTAATTATTATGAGAACACGTAGTATCGGATAGATAGTTAGACTTTATCATGTAAATAATGCAAGTTTTCTATCATTTCATTTTTATCCCTCTTATGCTACTAACGCGTTTGTTACTGTGAAGGTTTCCAAAAATCGTTTCAAGTATTTATTCCCGCTTAGCGCATCCATAATTCCTACACTTCTCCCTTTACCTCTTTATTGTATTTCATTATTTTGATTTAATATTTGGTACTGTAAATATATACTTGTACATAATATTTTTACTGTATATTTTACTCATTTCATTGGTAAATAAATTCCGTCTATGTAGATATTATTTTCATCGCATTGTGATTTTATTTTTAATTCCAACTAATTTCTGAAAATTGCACGGACGCACATAAGTTTTCCCGTGCTGTTAGTTGTGTCTGTATGTTTCATGTGATGCAGGGAATCTGATACCGTGAGCTTTATCCATCGTCCTTTGCGCTTTATCTGATGCTTGGAGTATTATCTCACATCAGGTTTTTTGATGCTGTCGGCTTGTGATTTATTTTCACCTAAGGTTTGATATACTCTTAGCTTATTCATCCGTCTGTGGTTTTAATTCCAAGGGAAATGTTTTAACTTTGTTGACTTCATGTCATCAAATATATTTGTTACAATTGTGCGAACCCCTTCATTCATTTTTGTTTTATTATTATTGTTAACCTTAAGTCGATTTTCCCAAAAGACTCAATTTCAAACTTACACCTTTTGAGTCAAAACTTCGACACTAGGTCGTCGTATCTTCAAAATCTCCCCAACACCGATTTTTAGCCAAATGAACCATTTTAATCAAACAAACAATTTTAACCAAAAATAGATATTTCAAAAGGTTCCTGCGGAGTACCGCAGATGCATTGGGTGCTAATACCTTCCCATTGTATAACCAACCCCCGAACTCTCGATCTCTTTCAAAAACACATTGTATTTTTATTACTTTTAAGTATTATTTTACATTGCATATTTTAGGGTTTTATTTCGCTCTTTTCCCTTTTCCTTTGGAAATAATAAAGCGCGGTGGCGACTCTTGCTTTTGTGAGTCAAGTTAATTAATAGCTTGATCTCCGATTTTCACCGCTACAGAATTGGCGACTCTGCTGGGGAAAGATTGACCTCTTGCTGGTCCATCCCTAAGTGGGTTAAGCCTAATCTGTTTTATCTGTTTTATCATTATTTGATTGTTTGATTATATGTATATATTGTGATTATTTGGGTGTTGATAATATTTACAAAGGACAAGTCTTATACCCGGACTAAGTTACACTTAGGAATAGGACTGGCGGTATAGTCATGTTAACTTTGAGGGAGTAATCCCAAAGAAGGAGGCATGAGATCCCCCACTCAGTGGAAGGCCCTTTTGAACGTAATATTTGCTTACCGAGTAATCGGGAAGACATTATTATTTTCGACCTGGGAGCCAGAGAAGCTGGGAACCGTAGAACCCTAACCCATCTTGGCCTTTTAGGTGTAGCGCGGAGATTATAACGGAGTAATCCGGAAGTAATTGTTACGCGATGCTATGCTCGGATGAGTTTCTCCTGAGAATATTGCTGATTATTGAGTAATCAAGACGTTGGTAATATCCGAAGGAGGAATGTAGACTCCGGGAACTCTTAGAACCTTGTTCTACAGGTGTGATTAAACCGTTAGTACATACCTTGGGGGTGTTCCTTACCTTGACTCCATGCTCGTGACGTTGAACCTTTCGACTTTATTTGTGACCTTACTTGTGGTTGTTGCATAGCCATGCATTCATGCATCCATAAAACCCTTTTCACTTGACTTTGAAGGAATTTGGAGGTCTTTCTTTGTAAACATCACAAGTTTCGTCAAGCTCAATGGATCTTGGGTGTTGATAGGGCGAAAACCCTAATCCACCAAAATGGATGATTGATCTTGATGATAACTTGATCAATGTTTGGAGCCAATTTAAAATTCATCTTCTATCTTCATACCTTGATGTTTACAACTTAATATCTTGAGTTCCTTGAAAATCAAATAAAAACTCTCTTTTGCATATCATACATCATTTTACATTTTTTTGTTTCACTTTCAAAGGTCTTTTTCCGAGTCTTATTTTTCCTTTGGTCTCACTAGTACCACACTCGCGCTAAGAGAACAATGGAGAATATCAAGCAAGAGGTTTCTGAACTCCATAGAGAGATGACTATTTTGAAAGCTAGTGTGGAGCACTTAACTGTTTTGGGTTGAAATTTTGGTTACCGCCCAAGTCAATCCTTTTAGGAGGGAGGAAGCGATGATAAAAGTCTTCACTGAAACTCTAAAATCATTCTCTCATGAGAAGGTGATGGTTAATGCACCTAATGACTTTCCTGACAAGGTGAATGTGGGAGTGCGTCTAGAAGAAGATGTTGGGAAGGGATGTTCATATGAAGATGGTAGCTCAGCTAATGGTGTGAAGAAGTTTGATAATAACTTTTCCAAGAAGAGAACCAGAGGAAGAAATAATCATCGTCAGAATCATCATGTTTCTCCTATTCATCAATAGAATCGGCAAGTTCCTAATCAGAGGAAAACCCAGTTTGATCCAATTCCAATTACCTATACAGAGTTGTTCCCTATCCTGATGCAGAGGAATTTGGTTCAGACCCGACCTCCACCGAAGGTTCCTAAGAAGATACATTGGTACTACAAAGCTGATTTGGCTTGTACCTTTCATCAAGGTGCTCCTGGGCATGACTTGGAGGGTTGCTTTGCTTTGAAGATTGAGGTTCAGAAGTTGGTCAGAAGTGGTATCTTGTCATTCAAGAACGTTGGTTTTGAAGTTCAAATCAAGCATGTGCCGGAGAGTAAACACGATTGATGGTGATTTTGATTTTTTTTTGGAAGGATGTTTTCGGTAATTCAAGTCCAGATGGAAAGCCTTCCCAGATTATTAACTTATTTCTGCTTTTGTAACTTTTCTTGTTTATCAAAACATTGTTTGCATGTAAGAACTTGTTTGCATCTGAATGATTATCTTAATACAATGGGTATGTTTGTCTTGAAGAAATTCATTCGTTTCACTCATATTTGTTTTCAAATTTTAAATTTCTTTTGGCATTATGATACCAACTTGTTGCCCATTCTCTTGCCTAGGCAGATATTGAAGGGAGGATGATGATCTAAAAAACACAAAATCTCTGGTTGTATGCTTTTGGATAAAATCTTGTTGACGATGTACAGGCATTGTTTCAAATCCCTAAACACCGGAGATATAAGGAAGATAATCCCTTGCTAACCCCTTTTGAGCCTTTGAAGCAGAAGTTTCTTTTCTATACGAAAAAACCTTGAATTTTAACCTGGGGCAGGGTAGTTTTTAGTTAATCTGACTGAGTGTTCAAAATTCATAAGGAAGATATTTCTGAAGAGAAACTACGAGGGCTATCTTTCATGTATAATAAATCTAGAGGATGTGGAACCACAGTGTTATCCCTCATTCATCAAGAAACGAGGCAATCACAATCCTCTCAACAAACAAAGACAAGCTAATGTCACACATTTTTTTCAAAAAGTCAAAAATCAAGAAAAAGAAAAGCCTGCTAAGTCAAAAAAAATGAAAATGTGTGACTTAGGCAAAATTAAGGCATCCCGCTGGACTATCAATTCAAAAATTAGTTCAGGCAAAAATTAGGGAAAATAAAAATTGCAAAGAAAGGACTACAAAGAAAAGTCCTCAGCAAAGAACAAATTGGTGACTACAAACACGAAGACATGAGGGTGGTTTCTACTCCGAAAACCTCGTCGTTTCCTTAACCGTCACAAAAATCCTTTTGAGAGATGAACGCTCATGTTGAATTAACTGAACATAGGATTGGAGAACATCGTGAAGAATGGGTGGGCACCAAATATTTTGAGCCTTAAAATCTTTTTTCTAAAAACCATGAACCAGACCACGTTACAACCTTCAAAAGTCCTAATTGAAGCAAGGTTATTTTGAAAGCATACTTCAATGAGATAGTGTTCCTGACTCCCATGAATGTTCTAAATAGTTATGTTGGTATCATATGTTTTTCCTATACAAAAATAAATGGTGCTCTAACTCGCAAAATTTGTGCGATATCTTTCAAAATCTTCAAGACTTACATAACTGTTGCATTAGAATTTTCATTCTCATTGTAAATTTTTTCTCTAACTGCAAAACATTTGTTTGATATCAAGGAAGCTCACATAAGCACCAGTGATGAGTTTATTCTTTTAAGGCCTGAAGCTCTGTTGAGTAATTGGCGAATCATTTCGAGAAAAATCATATACAGGGGCATGTCACCTGAAGACCTTAAGCACGGACATGTTGCTTCTCCTAATTAATGCTTTCCCAACTTGTTTACTCTTTTGGGGCAAAATTTGAAGACTTTGATGTGCCAACTACAGTCAATCTGGGGCAATCACGTCGAGATTTGACGAATCTCTCTAAGAGTTTGAAGACACCAGAGCATGGTGAATGCCAGGTCTTTTGTAAAATCCTCTTGAGACGATTTCTCCCCATCAACCATATAGCTTGGGGCATTTTAGAAGTGAAGTTATTCGCAAGAATCGTCGTGCATCATGCAGCTTATCAGCAGTAAACTTGGGGCATCCAAAATTAGTCCCAGGGGCAATCCAGATTTGTCAAGATATGTTTTGCAC